CCCGCGCCCCCCGCGCCCCCCGCGCCCCCCGCGCCCCCCGCGCCCCCCGCGCCCCCCGCGCCCCCCGCGCCCCCCGCGCCCCCCGCACGCCGGTTTCGCCTCGCGCCCGCAGAACCTGGAGCTTCAGAAACGCGCCCCGTCGGCAGCGGCCGGCAGGAAGGCTCTTTGGGGGCGCGGGGGGGGCTCCTGCGCCTCCCGGGACCTCCGCGCGCCGGAACCCCGGGCAGTGGCTCTGGGGAAGAAGCCGCCACCGGCTCGACGCGCTCCGGCGCGGGTGGGCGCGCAAGGGGCCCGGGGGGACCGCGTCGCCTCAAAAGCACGTGTGAGGCTGTCCCCGGCGGTGACACGGGCGGCGGCCGCGACCTCCTCAGCGCCAGGGTGTGCGTGTGTCCCCGAGACTCCCCAGGACGCGCGGCCGCTCGGCGAGGCCTGTTCTGGCTGGAGGACGTGGCCCGACGGTGCGCCGGGAAGTCCCCGCCGGCCGCCTCTGCCCGGCAGTGTGTCCTCAAGTAAAGCCACCTCGGTGTCTGCTCCGTCCACCGAAGGTCTTCGTGGCTTTCTTCCGGCGACGCTTCCTCACGTGGACGGAGCTATTCCGCACGATAAAATGTGCCCTTTTTGTCAATGTACTGCCTCTGCCCTCAGTTCCGTCTGGTCCAGAATTACGCTTGTGATCTCGGTTTCCTTTGTGTTCTCATGTGTAATTCGGCTTTGCCCACTCTTTTTAACTTTTTTGAGTCATTTCCTGTTGGTCGGTTTGTTACCATTTGGAAAATACATTAGAAATATGGATACCCTGAGCCCACCTCTAGAGTTATTCTTTATTTATTTAGAACTCAGAAATCTCCAGTTAATCTAACAATTAGCCAGAGTTAGGATAAGTGTGTCCTCGTATACAGTATAGTTAAGTTTTGCTTTGTCATTCACTTTTTTTGAATATGGCTCATTTACATTTATTGACATGACGTTGAATCTTCGTTAATACTATTTTTTAATCTTCTACTGTATGGTCAGTGTTTCCTTTCTCTTTTTATCTTTAAAGTCCAGGACTGACACATCAACATTAGTTACCTGTTTTTCCTGGGATCTGCTATAACTTTTCAACATGTATATTCATCTTTTATTTTTGGAATGTTTTCCTAATTCATATGTTTAAGTATTTTTTTTTTCCTGTAGTAGCCTTTTAGTCCATTCACATGAGTACTTTTTGTGGGCTTCTTAGATGGCAGATTTTATTCTAGATGCTGGGTGACAGCAGTGAATGAAACAGACCAAACTCCAGTGTCGTGGAGCCTGTAGCTGGGAGTAGCAAGACAATAAACAACACAGATAAACCAAACATATAGTACATTAGGTGAGCAGAAGTGGTGAGGAGGAAAGTAAAGCAGGGAGAGGGGAGGGGACAGTTGGCAATTGAGTACAGACCTCAAGGAGGTAGGAGTGTGTGTCTTGCTTTTCCGTCTCGGGAAGAGAACTCTAGGCAGAGGAGACAGTGCACAGTTAACGGAAGGTGGGATGTGCCTGGAATGTTCAAGGAACAGCAGGAAAGCGAAAGTAGCAGAGGGAAGGGAGAAGGGAGATGCTCAGCTGGGCGGTGGTGGACCACGTCACGTAAGGCTGTGTGGGCAACTGTGAGACACCTTAGCTTCTGTGCTGAGTACGTTAAGTCATTGAGTGATTTTGTTCTTGGAAGTTCCATGGAGAAATTTACATCACTTTACCTTCTGTTTTGAAATAGGCAGGCAAGGGTGGATGTTGCAAGACTGATTTAAAAACTATAATAGTAATCCAGATGACATGTAATGATGTCTTAGACCAGAACGATAATTGTGGAAATGATGAGAAGTGATCACATTCTGTGTTACATTTTGAAAGTTGAGTCACCAGGATGTGTGGGAAAGTTGAAAGATCTGGAGGGACCTCAAAGAGACTAAGAAAGAATGGCCAGCGAGGTAGGAGGAAGCCTGAGGAATCTATTGTCCTATCAGCCAAGTGAAGAAGAGGAAAAAATGATCAATAGTGTCAAAGCTATCGTAAGGTGAAAGTCAAGTATTGACCTCTGAATTAAAGGACCACCTGTCTGTGCAAACACTAATTATTTGTGTACTGTATCACCTGTTCCTGTCTCGTATAGCTGTCTGTATTCTGTATTCTGTAGTTGTCACTTTGTCTCTCGTCCTTGTCCACTCATCATTTCAATTTATTTCTTTTTTCTTTTTTCTCAATCCTATCATGTCACTTGCTATGTTTTTCAGAATTGATTTATTTTTGTGTTGATTACAATTTGGTTTTTATATTTCTCCACATCTTTCCTGAGCTTTTCAGCTCTCGTTTCTTCTCCCCATCTCAAAAAAAAAACCTTTCCTGAGCTCTGATGTCTCTCCTGTGCATTACTGTTTTACAGAAGTGATTGCCTCATTAAGTTTTTCAGTGACAATAATATGCCACTTTTGGTTACAATTTCATCTATTTTGTGACAATATTTTTTGATGAGCATTCTTCATCTGTCATAAGTGTTTCTATTTTTTTCTTAAATATATTTAGACAGATGCTGTTCTAGTTCCTTATGATCATTGCTCATCTTTGAATTAGGTAAGTTCTTTGTGGTCTGGCTATTTGCAGGAAGTACACGTGGGAAAGAACACATATGAAGTGAATTATGAATTATGGATTATGACACGGAGTTGCTTGCATGGATCCTTTCCACCTTCCTTTTCCTTGAGCCAGTAGAGACTGGCGCATTGTGTCTCACAATGTAGATTCCGTTTCCTCCACAATGCGGAATCTGTCTCTTCCATCGTACCCACCACCAGATTACTTCTTCCAAACATGTCTTGTCAGTATGATTCGATGCTAATCTTTGCTTTCCTTAAATTTTGAAATTTTTTGCTAAGTAGACCCAGGAAAGAGCCTGCCACCATCCTGCATACCCATTCCTATTGTTTCAGACTGAGAATTGTGTGTTTCTTTTTCTGCTCCTCAAGGTAGAGGCAACTTGTTAGGAAAACTGTGCTCTGCTGGCATTTCCTGTGGACAGTGGCCATGGGCTATCTTGCTCATGTCTTCTGGTAACTCACACCTACTGTTTGTGACTCAACATTGTAGATGTCTCCTGCTTTTATTGAAAATGAGATTACACTTCTGTTGATCTTTCTTAATGCTTTTGCATTATTTCTGTTAATAGAGGGAAACGCCATCTTTATTCCATTTAAAATTAGGAAATTATATTCACTTTTAAAAATATTTTGTGTTGCACAAATATAATCACCAATTACCATTACAATGTCTGCAATGGCAAATATTTCCAAATTGGCAGTATATTCAATTAATTTTAATCAGTTGCTTTACTTTTTAGAAATTTATTAAGTGTTACAGTGAACTTTATTTTGATGTAGAGGAGGCTACTTTATGCTCAAACTTATATTAACTGTGATTTAATGTGACATACCGGTAGACATATTTGTTTGTGGGCATTCTCTCCTACATAAGCAGATATTTATAGTGAGAGAGATTATGGACTTATGTTTTTAAATAAAGACTGAATAAATCTTATAAAATTCAATGTTTTTTTAATTTAAATTCAGTCAGCCAACATACAGTACACTCTTAGTTTCAGATGCAGTGTTCAACAGTTCATTAGTTGTGTTAGTGTATACCACCAGAGCTTATCACATAACATGCCCACCAATTAATTTTTGTTCCTTTATTTTTAGAATGGAATCCCAGCTCTAATAAGTCTTTTGAGGTTAGACATAGAAAATGTGCTAATAAATGTAATGAACTGTATACGGGTGTTATGTATGGGAAATGAACAAAACCAAAGAGCAGTGAGAGACCATAAAGGCATCCGATATCTTATCACATTTCTGAGTTCTGATTCAGGTGAGCCTCAATTTCTGTTTTATTTCTAAGCGATCAGATATATGAACTGAAGCAAATAAAGGTTGGACTTGTCCAGTAGGAATGCGTGTCCTAGAATGGATCTACACGTGTATAATGTAAACTAAATACCCGAAACACTCAAGTTCAAATGCTGGTTTATAAAGGAATTGACTCTCAGAGTTATAGCTTAAAAATAAAGTTTAATTAGACTTTTTTTATAAATGGAAATACTGGCATAAATCATGAAAAGAATGCAGTTAATACGCCCAGGGACTTGAGTAGATAACTCCTTGTGTGAATGACACATATATTGGTCATTGGGAACCATTTAATAAGTTGCCACGAAAGCTTCAGATTCACTGTTAGATATTGGATATCAGAATTCTAGGTCATCAGGTCATTAGGCCAATTACCACATTCTGAATTACGTATCGGCACAAGAGCATCACAAGCTGTGAGGTAGCTCTGGTCTGCACTGCGGGCGGTCTCTTCGGTTCTGTAGGAATTAGCTCATTGCAGTGAGCAGACACATAACAGGGTAAGCCTCAAGTCCATGGTTTCCCCAAATTTGAGGGGATTAAAAAATGAGGGAAAGCTTGACCATTTTTCTTCCTCAGTTTATCATCTTTCTGTTCTAGTTTTCCAGGAATAAAGATAGAAAAATGTCAGTCGGGGTATGGATGAGGGGGTGTCTCACAGAACTTGCTCTTACGTTAGAGCTTCAGAGTTAGTAATTCCGGTCTGCTGGGCACGCCTGGCTGGCTCAGTCAGTGAAGTGTCTGCCTTTCACTCAGGTCATGATTCCAGGGTCCTGGGATCGAATCTCACATCTGGCTCCTTGTTCAGTGAGGAACCTGCGTCTCCCTCTGCCTGCCACTCCCCTTGCTTGTGCTTTCTCTCTGACAAAGAAAATCTTTTAAAAAATGGTCATCTTCTAAGAACCTCTCTTGTATGGGGAAATCATGTGAAGTCCTTTCCCTTCATTAAAATTCCCAAGGTCATCTGCTCTAATTGGCCACATCAGTAACCAGGCTCCACTTTATCTTTATTTTTTTCTAAGTAGGCTCCACACCCACTGTGTAGCCCAGTGCAGGGCCTGAATTCAGGACCCTGAGATCCTGAGCTGAGATCAAGAGACAGACACTAACCAACCGAACCACCCAGGTTCCCCAAGTGTATCATTTTTAAGAACAGTGTTAGAGACAATGCATAGAATCATCAAATCACTATGTTCTGTGTTATACAGCCGAAATTGATACAACATTGTACTGCAGTTTTAAAAAATAGCATTATAAAAATAAATTTAAAAAATAGCATTATAGCGGCACGTGGGTGGCTCAGTGGGTTAAGCATCTGCCTTCGGCTCAGGTCATGATCTCAGGATCTGGGATCGAGCCCAACTTTAGGCTCTCTGCTCAGCAGGGAGCCTGTTTCTCCCTCTCTCTCTGCCTAAGGCTCCCCCTGCTCATGCTCTCTTCTCTCACAGAAATAAATAAATTCTTTTTTTTTTTTTTAAACATATAATATCTTTTTATCCCCAGGGGTACAGGTCTGTGAATCGCCAGGTTTACACACTTCACAGCACTCACCATAGCACATACCCTCCCCAATGTCCATAATCCCACCCCCCC